TGGGGACTGCAGCCGCACGTTGTGCATTGGATATACACTGCGGTTGTAAGACCCATAATTACATATGGCGCCACAGTATGGTGGCCCAAAGTTAAACTCAAGACAAGCAAGGCAGAACTTAGAAAATTGCAAAGGTTGGCTTGCTTGGGTATCACAGGAGCAATTTGAACATCTCCAACAGCTGCACTGGAGATACTCTTTGGACTCCCCCACTGCATCTACAGTTGGAGGCAGAGGCCAGGGCAGGAATCTACTGTCTCCAGTGCAGTGATCAATGGAAACCTAGATCCGATGGTTTCGGCCATGCATACATAATTTAGGACATGAAAAAAGAACCCATATTACAAATGGGGTCTGACAAAATGATACTGAGACATGTATATGAAACACCCTTCACAGTCAGATTTCCTGACAGGAGTGAATGGAAAGACGGGTTTCGGCCCAATAGAAAAGGGGGACTGATCTGGTAAACAGATGGTTCCAAGATAAATAAGGGCACTGCAGCTCGTGTGTACTGCTATAGCACGAGGCAGAAACATAGTTTCAGCCTTGGGCAGTACACTACAGTATTCCAGGCATAAGTATATGCCATTATGGCATGTATTATGGAGAATTTAGACAGGAACTATAGAAATACGAACATCTACATTCTATCTGACATCCAAGATGCACTTAAAGTGCCACCACACCCTCATGGAACTGACCAAACATAACAGGGTACAACTGATATGGGTGCCGGGGAATGAGGGTATTGCTGGGAACGAAACTGCAGACCAATTAGCTAAGATTGGAGCTGAAGATTTTAAGAGCAGGAATGCTGAGGGGATAATCAAAAGGGGAAGCACAACAGCCCACTGTAGGTCGTGGTGCAAGGGCCGAGAAGGCCTACGCCTCATACATTCATTCATTTATTCATTCATATGTACTAAAAATACACAACGCTTGGCCAGCTGGGCCACATGCATGCAACATTACAACTGTACACAGCATACGGCTAATGAAGGTTAATGTCATACATACCTACCATATTAACTCACATTATTTATGTACCTTCACCAATAAATTTAAGTCTGATGCATAAAATATGTGAACACTACTTCTCAGACAATAATTTTCATGTCAGAATGAATGAGATGTGGCAATATAACATGAACACTTCAAACTTGAGACTCAACATGTGTTTCTCTGAACAATTAAACAAAAATGCTGTGATAAAATTCTGGAGATTCATTACCTTCTGCAGAAAATATTATTAGAGTTCAATGCAATATGCAAACACAGACATTTGCATCTATGGACTTCAGCATACAATTCCTTGAAGAGTAACACAAAAATGGCCATTCAGAAAATTTTGGCATTGAATACAACTCAAGCTGAAAGCAATGTGGCAACATGGAACAGGTACTTGCAACTACAGATTCCAATACTGAATTCCTTGCAGAATCTTGAATGAAAAATGTCCCTTAATAAAATCTGGGCTGACACATAATTTTTGCATAAGTATAGCAACGAGCTACAGATTACATGGTTATGGTTTGACTCCCAGCAGGGATAAGAGATTTTTCTCTACTCCGCAGTATCCACACTGGCTCTGGTGCCTACACAGCAACTATCCAGTGGGTACTTCAGGCTCTTTCCCCAGGGGTAAAGCAGCCAAGGCATGAAGCCAACCACTCACATCCATCCAGTGCCAAGGTCAAGAATGGTGGAGCAATATACCTCCACTCCCACATACCTATTTATGATGCGGTGCTAAAACACAGGAAGACATAGCAAGATGGTATGCATATTCATACCTATGGACTAAAGCATGCAATTCCTTCACCCACACTGATGAAAATGTCCCTTGATAAGATTTCAAAACAAAGCATAATTTTCATGGAAAATGCAATTAATGATGAATCCAACATGGCAACATATAATACAAATTCACACCTACAGACCATACCACACAATTCATTAACACTCAGCCAAAAACTCCTTAGTTATATTTTGACAAATACATAATTTTAACACATGAAGTCACTAAAGGTCCCCATTCCATTGTGCCTTAATGGACTCCAATATAACCACATTTTCACAAATAATCAAAATTTTAACAAAAGTGAAAACATGGTATTTACTGTTTGCTGAAATTTCATGACTAAAGGTGGGAACAAAAAATATGTGAGTAAATGACACTTCACATTGATTATGACTACAATTACAGAAAAGTTGCATGACATCTGGATCATAATACAAATGTTCACAACTTTTTCTTCTTATGAGTACTCCTAAATGAAGACTTGGCTTAACATTCATTACAATACATTATGATCACTAGTTCACCCCAAGTATTTCAACAAGGTCTCAAGGTTTTAGAGACAGCACTGCAAAATTGGACTACACTGCATACCGTTGGCTCCAGGACCATTCCAATTACCATGCTGGAATCCTGGTGGTGGATGTCCTTGGTTTGGAGGGCCAGGAGGATGTCCATGTCCAGGTGGAGCTCCATGTCCCATAGGTGGACCTGGCATTCGAGGTCCTGGACCAGGAGGAGGCATTCCTGGAGGTGGCATCCTTGGTCTCATCCCCTGAGGTGGCCCCATCATCATTCTTGGAGGATGTGCATGTGGATGTGGGTGAGGATTTCGAGGACCCGGGTTTGGAGGTGGCACTGGTCGCGTTTTTGACTGAGCCTCAAACTGAAAGGTACAAAACACGTGATTATGAAATAATATGACAAATGGGAATAATTCACACATGCAAATGAAAACTAAAAAGTCAGAAGCTGCTCACCTGATTTAATGCCTGCTTAGTTGGAAATGTAACTACCGGACACTGGCCATGTAGTTCCTTCTTTGGCAGTCTTTCCATACACATCCTCATGCTTGGTTCTGAGCCCAGTGTGATCACACAGAATCCTTTTGATTGTCCATTTGCACGGTTTTCAAAAAATTTGACTTCCACAAAGTCATTTACTCCTATTCCAAGGACTGCATCTGTAATATCTTGGTCTGTAGTCCACTAGAAAACATGACAATATATAAGCCAAGGGCTAGGTGGGATGCCCAAAGATGTCCCCAACAGGAAGCTGTGGAGGCAGTCATGGGATTGCCCATCCGGCACTGCAGTCTTGACTTTTGTTGAAAACAAATTTATATTTCTAACAATGTGCAGTGAAATAAAAACTTACTGATTAGATCAGAGCCTTGGTACACAACTGGACAACTGAAGCAAGCAGAATGTATAAACTGAAAACACTAAAAGTATGTGTACAATAACTAGGAAAGGTATCACTTTGTTATATCTGACATCATGTTGAATAATGTACGGCTGTTTTTTAATAAAATAATAGTGACTGGTGAAATTTATAAAGCATCAGTCTGTACAGTACGCCCCCATCTGATGATGTTCCATTTTGTAAATTCATACCACTTTCATACCAAGGCTCCACACATCACAGTAACTAGTTATTATGCTGTCATTCACTCCGGAGTTCAAGAAATGGTTCAAGACAAGGGTAAAATGCCCAAATGTGTTTAATGTTGACAAGTCCATCATCCACCATTCTCTCATTTCACCTCTGGCCATCAGTGAACACAATACAGCTTACTAAATATTAAATACACAATATTTTACTTTGTTTATAATTTTATGTATTTACAGCCAAGAATACACAAGTCTTTACAATCATGTTCATATTGTTCATACTGCAATGCATGTTATCAGGCTACAAATGGCTCATGAATATAACCTACATATTTCTTAAGTTACTTAAGAAAAAGATAGTTACGTGTTTTTCATGAAGTATGCTTTTCATACAGGTAAACAAACTTTGCCTACCTACACAGGAGTAGCATACTGCTATTCTATCAAGTTTAATAGTGTCGCATGGACCAAGTGCAGTGGGGAGTCAAATCATATCCCAGTATGTTCACTGACATCACCATCGAACATTCCTGGCTTCCCCCTTCTTCTGGCAATTTCCAGGAACACAATGCACTTCATCTCTTGCATTTGTACCACACTATTCTAGAAATATAACTTGTACAAAATCACAGTTGCATAGCAACAGGCAGTACAGTTGAGTCTGCACTTAGGAGCTGCATGCAGCACTTGTGTGGCAAAATAGTGCAGTCTACCTGCAGTGGCAAAATGAGTTCAAGGAGACAGTGCAGTGGTATTCAGTGGAATAGTATTGGACAAGAAGACACTGATGTCAAGATTGTGAGAAAACTGTAAATAACTGCTCCAGAACACAATAAATATAAATATAAATCAATATAATTGTACCTCTACATCCCCAAACCTCACAAGTTATAGGGGTTAAACAATTTTTTTTAGTTTATTTTTAACAATTCCCCACTGAAACTTCCATAGGCTAGTAATATACAAAAACTACAACACTTCAGACAGAGCATACAATTAACTGAAAGATTTTATCAAAAACATTAAATTAAGACACAAACTATGACAGTCGCTTTAAGTACAGCATACACAACTGGGAGACTGTAACACAGATCTAGGAGGGGGGGAAGTCATGATAACTGGTAGAGCTGGGTTAGTATCTCAACCAAAGAGATTATTTAACATCAAGTGAAATGAGAATATGTACAATGAGATAGAAAAAATCTAAGAGGTAGCGGTCATGGTTAAAACAATTTGAAAATTATTGAAGAATATACTTGATATTAACACAAGGACTCAATTCTCAGGTTTAAACAACGAAAAACAAAAAGTTATTTGTGGACAAACATATAGTCAACCATGCAATCCATTAACCTTAACTTGCTGGGCATATACCTCCGCCTACCACGAACATCACAAACAAGTCAACTGCCTCTGTATATATGCAACCAGTAGCACAACTTCAGGACTGCTGCATCTAGCAGTGAGGACACCAAAATCCAGGTCATTTTTAAACATAATGAATATAATAAGAATGATGTAGCCCCTTCCCGTGGGGGGGGG